AACAGCTGGCAGCAGAGGAGATAGGCCCTGAAATTGACAGGCAGGAGTCACTGGGGGAGAACTGACTTCCAGAAAGTGCTCCAACACCCACTAATTTTTTCCATTGGTACTCCAACTCTAGAGCACTCATGGAGTTGGCACCAGTGACTGCTATGATCCCGATGTACAATCTCTGAAAAATCAATTGTAACGTATTTCCCTAGACATTTATAACTTTTTATATTAAATCTTTAGTTGTTAGTTACTAAAGAATTGACTAAGAGTGATAGGCTCTAAGAGTGATAGCCAGATGAATAGGAATGGTGTCCCTAGCCTCTTTGCCAGAAGCTGGGAATGAGTAATGGGGAAAGATCACCTGTTTTGTTCATTCCCTCTGGGGCACCTGACAGTGGCCACTGCCAGAAGACAGGATACTGGGCTAGATGGTCCTTTGGTCTGACCCAATATGGTCATTCTTATAATTTGGGTAAGATCTGACTGATTCCTTGAAATTGGAAGAACTTTATATATGAGTAATCTGATTTTCAGTAACCAGAGTCCCACTTATATTGGTGCTGAGCCAAGGGCTATAATGCATAAGAGGACTGTATTTTTATCTTGATAACCAGCACATGGGTACAGAAGCATATTTTGTCATAGGTTGGGTGAAATCTAATGATAGATTCACCACCAATTTGTTGTATATGCGCCCTGTGTTGCCCTTAGTCACTGTGATTTGAAACACTCAATATTTTTAGAGCACCTAATAAACTTAAATTGGGTGACCACTCATAGTCATAATAAAAATCATACCGACCTCCAATAGCATACTGACAATATGTATGAGGTCAGAACTATATTATGGGGCAACTGTGAGAAACACATACTCTGTGGACAAATGACAGTTTCATGCTGCTATTGGTAGGAGTGCTGCAGCTTAAGGGGTTAGTGGAGCAGGAAAACAAACTGAGTACATCTAATTGAAGCAATGCATTGTAAGCTTCTTTACTTTGTCAAGAGGTAGAGAACCTGAAAGTCATTCCACACCAGATTCCAGGAGCCAATAAAAAGGAGAAGGTCACAAGTATTTTCACCTTACCAATGAGTTAGTAATGCTTAAAGTTAATAAGATACTTACTAATCAGAATATATGAAAGATGAAAACTTCTAGCAGGGTCCCACGACAACATCTTTCTAGAAATCCCAGAACCTCATCTCGTCCCAGATGCTGGGACAACAGGATTCTCAAAGCACTGTCCCAGGATAATGGTGCTGAATTCTCATAGCCACCTGCCAAAGTCATGTGTGTCTGCTTCTGACAAGATTAACAACCCAGTTGGCTTTGAAATATTGAACAGCTGCCTATTTGGCTTGAGAAATCAGAATTCCCCTAACCACCTTAAAAGAAAGACTGCAGTGCACTGAAAGTCACTCGACTCAGGGTCAAATAGGACTACAATCCTCAAGCATGTGCTCAAGTGTTTGCATAATCAGGGTCAAAATCACTATTAAGAACTTTAAAACAAATTTCTGAAGTTCATGTGAAAGTTTAACTGGTTAACCAGTGAACAAGCAAGCATCTATGATGCAGTTAACCAGTGAGGACCGGAGCAGCTTCCCCTCTGCCCCCGCCCACTTTAATCTGTTAACACCCCTGCCTCAGACTATCTAATCCAATATCCCATCAATAGTTAGTACCAAATGCTTCAAAGGAAGCCACAAGAAATTCAGCAATTTTTTAGTTATGAAAATAATCAGCCCTTGGGGAACATTTCTTCTCAACCCACTTCTTTGAAGTTTACTCACCCTGAAGTGTAAGATTTATATCTTTTATAAAAGTTCCTTTTGCAAACCTTAATAGAATTCTACATGTGCTCATTAGCCATATAGACATCTAATACTTTAACTCCTAAAATAATTGCCTCAAGTGATATTACTGTATCAGGGAATAAGATAGTCAAGTTAATTATGCATCATGTAAAGTAGTATTTTCTTTAACAATTTTAAACTTATCTTTTGGTATCCTCTGAAATCACCCTGTGTTTTTATTATATGTTTGAGTGCTCAGTTTTTCTTTAGACTATTCATTATTGTGTACATCTCCTCTTTGCACTACACAACCCATATACTGAAACGATTAGAAAAAACTATAAAAGCAACAGGTCTTACTCAACAGGTCTATTCCCTGTGGATATTCAGAGTATACTCCTTTATGACTATGTCATGGTGTTTCAAATACAACATCAACATGTGCAACCCTTTTTTAGGTGAAGAGGCCACCTCTGTCACTGAAGATCTAATTTTTATCGTAACTAAGAAACATTCAACAAGACTATACATAAAATAGGCAGCCATACCATCAAGTTAACATGTATTTTCCATTAAAACGTGATGATCAAAGTTACAAAAATTAATAAATCTGCAATTAAATACAAGCAATAGATTTCCCCAAAGCTTTTTTCCCATTAAAGTAACAGGATCAAGGGACTAAAACTGCCCAACTCATATTAGTTAATATTTTGAAAAGAAGTCTTTTAACTATGTGCTGTGATTTCCTTGATTAATTTACATTTTCTGATAGTGACATTTTCTTTAATGAATGTAACTGTTGAAGCTTTT